TAATCGATTATTCTATTTAAAAAATATACAACGTATAAAGATGTATTAAGAAATTTCTAGCATTTAAATTTTCTATGCGAAATAAAGTTCAAGGTTTTGCCACTAAATATCGCGAATATTTATAAGTATTGTGAAAGAATTTTGCCACGTTTAAGAATAGCGTATTATTGTTCAGAAGATTATAATATCTGCAATTGTGTGTAGCAATTTTTTGTGAGATGGAAAAAACTTTTATTAGAAAACAGCGAGTGTGTGAGAGACTGTCACAATTCATAATCTTCGAGGAAGCTTTTATATGAAGATAATGTCATGAATAAATCGCAAGTTTATAAGTGTCATAATGTCTATATATGTCTGTATAATATGCGCATTAATAATAATAACCTGTTTTTAAACACATTAAGTAGCAAAAATTATTACAAATCAAAAAGCTTACGCATATTGTGTAGTGATAGATTTTAAAATTTCTCAATAAAAAAAAAAGATTTAAAAAAACACGCAAAAACACTTTCGCCTGTTAATCGAGCATTGATCCGACGCGACGTTTGCACAGCGGTAAATGACCAGCGGCCGAATTATCAAGCGGAAACCTATCTACTCTCGCGTTATCGCGCACGTAACGAAGAAAGGCTCTGTTTGCTGAATCGAGGCGTACGTGCGTACGTGTGCGCACATGTGGTGCATACGTGTTAGCGATTCTGCACGATTTCACGGCAGTGTGCGTGTTTCACGTTTGTGTGGGTGTAGGTGTGTGTAAACACCGCTGCGAAGCATGTTCGATCGCGCGCTTCCGACTTCAGATAAATTTAGTTCTATACCCAAGCGACGATTTCCCTTTCTACGGGTGCAGCTGTCCGATGGTCTTTGCATCGTTTGGTGATAGTTCATGCGTGGGAATTGCATAAGCGCTTTAAACGGTCGCGTGAGCCGCTGCTCACAGTGGCTTTCAACGTGATATATCAGAGATGATCGGAGGTCGCATCGGAAGCTGAACGGTACGCGATAATATAACGTCTTCCGTGAAATTGATTTAGCCTACGGCGCATCGAGGATGCTTCCTCCCGATGAAAGTATTGAAGCAGCCATCGTGCATGGAAAAAAATCTACGAGAAGTCGGCAGCAAATAATGACGTCTCATTAAATTTTTTTCTGAAGAGGAAATTACTCTAATTTGACTCGTAGGACAAGTGTCTCGGATTATTTGTATGAATAGTGGAGAGAGTAGTTATACAAATGTATTTGATATTTATCATTTGTTACAGCTTGATAATCAACAAAATTACACACCTTTATTTCCGCTGGCTCTATCAGTACTCTCATAGAAATTATCCGACTCTTAGTGAAGCTAGTATTATCTCCATGAATCTCTCGTTACGAAACTCGTCTGTTGTTACTCCTCATTAACTTAACCCGAGGGGAGCAAGTATATGTCTGCGTGACAGATATAATTGCGCGGGCTCATTACACCTTAATTCCGCTCCTCCTTCATAAAATCCTCTTGTAATACAGCGATTCTCTCATAATGTAAGATTTAGTCCTCGTAGAGCCGTTACCGCGAGGCTTCTCTACCCTTCGGAGCAACGAAAAATTAATGTACGGGATGATCTTAGGAGCGAGATAATAACATACTTTGTATCATTAATTCTGCACATCAAGGAAATGCAATCGAAGAAAAAGAACGATCAATTTTCTGTCGGTATCGAAAACAGAGTTGCAATTCGAATAAAACCGCGTAGAAGGAAGGTAAAAGTACCAATACCCGGATACCTTTATTATTTATAAGTATAACACGAATTAAAATCAAAGATAAAAATATTTCTCTTGTATTTTGAAACTTTAGTTATGGTATCCAAATGTTTATTTCCATGAATTTATATTTTTTTAAAGGTTTTCTTTAAAAAAAAACATAGGTATGTACGTGTCCAGGCATTGGTATATTTACCTATACTCTTAAGTGTCCGGGTATTGGTAACTTTTATCTGTAAATTAACTACCTGATGAACGTATGTGCGCGTAGCGACACTACAGAAGAACTCCACCCAAGTAAAGGCGTAAGACTGAGCTCCTCCAGTTCAGCTTCGACAAGTAAATGTTCCGTTGTCCCTGACACGGCTACGTCCTCATGCTTGACGAACAGATCTCGCGCGGTGCGCTCGACCCGTGGCAATCTGGCCGACGTGAATAAATCCGTTAGACGCCAATATATCAAATAAAAGTATCAATGAGTGTCGTAAGATACGCTGAACGTTCATAAAACAAATTCAGAAACGCGACCGTAATTGAGAAGTAAAGCCGGCGCGAAGCGAATTATCGCGGATAATTCGCTGCTCCATTTTTTCTAAACTGCACCGTCATTCCTGATTACCGAGCTACGATCATCGTAGTCGGATATTACCGTGAGTTAGAAAGTAGCGCGATCGGTGAACGTCGCGCAATCGAAGATACTTCGCGTTTCTCGCTGCGCTGTGACGAAATGCACATGTTAATGATGTATTCTATTATCGGACCATCTGCCGAGCGGAAATTCTTCCGCGCCGATTTTTGATACAGATCGTGCGTCAGAGATGTGTGGACCGCGAATAATTTAATGACCGCAGCGCGACCGTCACATTCTCGAGAAGCCAGTTTTTTGCCGAACGAATTATGCATATATAAACAAATCTACGTGACCACAGAACCCGTTCTATAAATTTAAACCTTTAAACCTGTTTAGTTGTTTATCAAGGAATTTTACAGCTCTCAGAAACTTGAATTACCTTCGCCAGTAAATAATTAACAAAAATGATTTTTACTTTATATGAATGTTACAATTAATAAATGTGGCCAGTTGGATCGTGTAAAAATCATTTCTGTTTACAGCTTCTCTTATCACGTGAGCTCTCTTTCTGTGACTCTGTTCTCTAGAGGTCTATAATTATTTATAAGCATGTCTCGCGGACAATGGATAATAAATTTACAAGTAAAATCGTTGTTGCATATTAAAAGAGACAACTGACGGCAATAAAGCACATATTATTTTTATTACTGTAAGAAATATCGAGATAAAAAAAGCATCCGAGGAAAAAGTTTTCCCATGTTTCATTTTATTACATAATCTTTGTTCGTACGTACAAGAAAGATAACAAAATCAACAATTTTTTTGGACTGCGGAATTAAAGTTGTTACGCACGGGCAACGAGTGACGATGCGACTTAATTAAAAACCGTCCCCATATAAGTGATATATGATTTGAGAGACCTATGGGCCTATTTTTTGAAACTCTTAACAGTTTCATTATCTTTATATTGTCATTGCGCAGCTTTTTTTATCATATATAATATTTGCGCAACGCAAATTCAACGATAACGAAATTGTCGTTAAGAGTTACGGAATACTGATCGCATCTAACGTTCCCCTTTACTAACAATAAGACAATTCAGATAATACTAAGCAAGTGATTAAAATTGTGTCGAAATCTGTCAAATTCTATCAGACTAACAATGAATAAAATTTTCATCAAATTAGATGCTTGAGATCGATGCTGAAAATTGTTGCAACTTGGATATCGCATTATATAATTTTAGATCTATAAAAATATTATTTCTATCAAACCTGATAACCCGAACCGATAGACCAAATACCGATGGTCTTGCGTTAATTAGTTTGAATTACGGAGAGATTGCACTAAATCATAAATTAATTAATACAATCTAATATACTATGTATTGCATGTACACAAATTGATATGATCTAATTTACTACCCATGTAGTACGACTGAAATTAATGAAATAATCTCGTATCATCGAATTGCTTACGTCTAATACGCACACGAGACACGCTGCTATACCTGCGAGACATATTAATTAGTAGTCGTTTTGCAGTTACAGATTGTCAGCCATCCTCATTTGTCTTGCGAAAGATAATATAATTAAGAAAGAATTGTCCAACCTTGATCCCAGAGAGTTGCATGCATTTTCAAAGATCAAGTTCGTATAATACAGCTTTTTCATATCAATTTCTTATCTACATATCCTGACTCCGCTAATCATAGGTAAGCAGTCTCGCAAGTTGAACGTTGGCTTTGTAGGGAAACAAAAAAATTAAAACGAAGTAGATGTAACGTTAAGCGTTGAAACTTGTCGACGGCACGCAAAGCGCCGCAAAGCGACGATGAACCAGAAGCAGCGGACTTCGCCGGTGCCGGTTAACGGTCCCACCGTGAGATTCCGCGTAAGCCCTCCAGGAAGCCAGGATCGGCCGGAGTTCACGAACATAGTCGACGGCCCTTCCATCGGCTCTCCGCGAAAAGGTGATTGTACCAAGGCGGTCGTGCAACTTTCTCGCTGTCGGAATCGCAAATGCGGAAGAGGTCGGAGAGTACATGAGAGAGTACATGAGAGCCTATGGTGCGATTCATCGGTTAGTACCCACAGGATCGTTGCCCTGTAAAGATCGTACCTCGGGTCCCCCGTATACCGGCAGCTGTACCCGGTGAGTTGCCGCGCACAATCGAATTCCGATCGCGAATCAAGATCGCGAAATAACGTGCCGTTCAAGCGTCAGCGTGAATTATAATTGCTAATTTTGCTGGATTTAATTCGAAAGCTTCGTATTTGAATCCTTTTGAATGCAAAGCTTTGAAGAGAGTGGTTTACCGGTTTTATTTCAAAACATTGGAAATTCGATCTCTCCCAAAGAGACAAGGGTTTTGCTTGGTATGTTTTTTTTCTTTATTAAATGGCTATTAATGTCAATTAGAGAAAGAAAGAGAGAGAGAGAGAGAGAGAGAGAGAGAGAGAGAGAAAATTCGATTAATTTTAATATTTGATGTAGTAATGTCTCGATTCTTCGTAATTATATAAAAGTTATCAGACATTTCGCCAATTTTAGCGAATAATGCTTTAGGTAAATAATGCCTCTAGCAATGAGTTAAATATTTGCAAAAGTTACATATTTACGAGTCTTGATAAGTGTGCTAAATTTATATATATTTTAGTTAATTTTATTAACTTATTTATTAGTCTCGTCACATTTTAAACTTAATCCTAAAAAAAAAAAAATGATACAGCTTCGAAGTATAATATTGATTTTTTCAACAATGTCTTTTTTTCTCTTGTGCAATTTGTCCGCTAAACTAACATCATTGCTTATAAGAAACGATGAAAAACGCGTGTGAAAAAGAAAAAAAGATCGAATCGATTAGAAATTTATTGCGTACACAAAGACAGACATATTATCACGACAAATTGTCAAATTTGATTAACTTATTACTTGCTTATTATTGACTAATTACTGTCAATAAACAAATATAAAATACACAATTAATTATTAACGTAAAATAATTAATTTATTTATCGTAAGTCTTATCAGTATTTAACAAAAGAATACGTAATAATAATAATAATAAAACCTTCGGTTCTCCTATGGGTTCCCCTTTGTCACCCATAGGGGCGGATATCGTGATGCAAGACCTGGAGGTTAGAGCGCTCGGAAGCTTGAAGTTTGCTCCTTCTTTTTATAAGAGATACGTGGACGATATTGCAATGGCAGTGCCTCTTAATGAATGCACTCACGTATTAGAAACATTCAACTCATTTCACCCCAGATTGCAATTTACTATGGAGATCGGTGTGGGTGGCAAATTGAACTTCCTAGAGGTCACCATGTTTCACATAGGCGAGCATTTGCAATTTGACTGGTTCCACAAACCCACTTTTTCCGGAAGATATTTAAATTTCCTATCTCAACATCCACTCTGTCAGAAAAAGGGCACGGTCATCGGTTTGATCGATCGAGTATTTAAGCTGTCGCACCCGAGATTTCATCAAAAAAACATAAGATTTTTGATCCAAATTCTGATAAATAATTGTTATCCGTTGGAATTTATTTTTGGGACGATACATGAGCGCTTGAGATTTTTACTTAATGATAGACACGTTACGAACGATGAGAGCATTGATAAAGTTCCATATTTCACGATACCATATGTTCCTGGGTTGTCTGAGAAATATAAAAATTTAACCAAGGGTCTTAATATAAAGCTCTCGTATTTCAGTCTCAATAAATTGAACAGACTTATCAGAGGTCACAAGGATACTCTCCCTGGATTATCGCATAGGAATGTCGTATATAGAATTAATTGTAATGATTGTGAGGCTTCCTATGTCGGTCAAACAGGGAGACAACTTTTAACGAGAGTTAAAGAACATAACTCGCATATCAGAAGGAGTGGTGCGGGCCATTCGGTCTTAACAGACCACAGATTGCAGTATAACCATGACTTTAACTGGAAAGACGTGGAAATATTAGACCGAGAACCGTCCCTTAGTAAACGCTTAATATCAGAAATGATTTACATAAAAAGGCAAAGAGAAGGTTTAAATTTGCAGACGGATACAGAAGATATACCAGAGATATATATTAGTGCTATCGAGGGACTTGTTAAAGTTTAGAATTATTGTTGTTACGCGGACTTGTTTTATATTATGCGTGACCTTTCCCCCCGCTTCTTTATACCGTCGATATCTTGTATAAGACAAGCGTGCCATTCTCTGTGTGAGCGTCCTCTGAGACACACCGATTCCTGCAATTGATTGACGTGGCGTTGCGACTTGACTATTGTCCAGTATGTCAAACCTGTGAGTTACCCGTTTGATACCATTTTGTTATCTATTTTGTTATCTATTGTGTTCCTGTATGAATATTGAGAGAGGACGGCACTCCGAATTTGTCCACAGGCGTTGCGTCACAATGACAAAGACAGTACATCCGTTTGAAAATTTCCTGGCGCTCCAACCAGGAAACTTCTATGCGACGAATTTCTGGAACGCGTCGGAGTGCACATCCAACTGACCAGCGATGATTTGTTGTTTACGGCGGTAGAATCTGTATGTATGTTTGCGACGATAATTTTTATATGTATGATATACGCTGAGGAGGACCCCAAAGAAGGGTCGAAACGTTCGTTCGTTCGTTCGTTCGTTAATTGACTTCGGTATTTGTGACTGTAGATAATAAAGTTTAGCGTTTTAACGACACGCTTGTGCTCTTATTGCCCGTTTAAGGTTTTTCTTTTTCGTAATAATAATATTGTATGTTACGAATCAGTGGCATTATATAAATTATTTTAATAAAAGTCCCGCTACACGCATAAGAATAATAAAAAGTAAGAAAGCGTAACAATATATATCATATATAAAGTATGCATCTGCTTGTAAATATAGAATGGGTTACGTGTATTCCTCCGATTGTAGATTTAATCAGAATTATATAAAAAATTCTTCCAAAAAGGAGTGTTTAACAACTTCCGGTGTATCGATTATCGTGCCATTAAGAATGATATTTGTGTGATCTAAATTACGTGAAAGAGAAAGACGCTGCGTACGATAAAACATAGTTCCTATAATAACAGGGTTTGTGTCACGAGATTGAAAACAAAACCTAAATAAGATAATGCCACTTTCGATCTCGAGAAGTAAAAGCATGCAATTGTCAGTACAAGGAAATGGTTTATAAGACATTGAATTTGCGGAGATAACGTAACGATATTTTCATGGACTTTCATAGACCAACTTTCTAATAATGATTTTTATCTAGATTTTACGTATGATTATAGAAATATAAATCAACTGCATGCTCTATTATGTCTGAATACTAACGTAAAAGCAATGTTACGCAAATAATAATTTAAGATATAACTATTGAAAGTTTTGGTATATGCTATGAGTACTGAGAGAGATTACGTTGTTAATGAAAAAAAAAAATAAAAATAAAATAAACTTTAGCAAAGGCAAAAAAGTCGAAATTTTGCGCTCGATAATTTCGGCGGGAAATACCGGCACGAGAGGCTGAAATGCAGCCTACGTTACACGCAACTGTATGCAGTTGCATATCGACAGGGGTAGCCTTGAGTCGCGCGCGCGCAGATTCTCTGTAGAAATTCTCCGTCATGGAAGTTTTCAAGATCGAAGGCGTTTGAGAAGAATTTCGGTTATTACGTTTGCAGAAGATTGATGTAGAAGCACGCGAGTTATGCCACGGATGAGTTAACGCGATCAGCGAAAGAGGGGAACCCGTTCACGAAAACGATTTATCATGCTTTCGTGGACTGACCTTGAGAGATTTCGCATCCTTCGCCAGACAAGTAGGAGTCGATTTTTCGGACCACACACGCTCACACGCAGCGCTTCACGCAAGATATTATAAGAGAAAATATTACGGGGATAGTGGCTAAAAACTATTTTTAAAATTATTTTAAAATTATTTTAACTATTTTAAAATTATTTTAATTATTTTAAAATTATTTTTTAGCGTTTTGTCGAGGTCTCTTATAAATAGATAAATAAAATATTTTTATGGAATAATATATTCCTATCGCTTTAAGAGAACCCGTATGTGTATTGATCGCAATTAGAACTTCTTTAAGACAAAGTTCTGAAATATCGAGTGTATATTTAATGTTCTACTATGCTATCTTTTTAAACTTCATAATAAATTATACTAGCTTATTTTTATTTTTTATGATTTCCCAAAAATTATGAATGGCGAAGATATTGAGATAAAAAGAATAAAATTTTCTCTCTCTCTAAAACAGAACCATACCCACCCACCGTAATGTCTTCTAAATGTTGCAACGTTACGAGCGCCGCCGCGCCGCGCCGGTCTGCTTTCAGTTCAGCACAATGTAGCATTCTTTGATACTTCGTGAACAAGCCTCGACAGAGAGTGATTGACAAATAAATAAAACGCAATAATGACGTAAGACGGAATAATTTCATGGAATTCTTAAGTTTTGACGATAAATAGATAACGCGCATGCAGCTAGACGTGGAAAATATGTTATTACCGTTGGCATATACGTATGATGAAATACCGTCGAAATCAACAGACAGAAAAAGCACTAATAACATGTACTTAGATTACGTCAACGGAACGTCGCGTCGTTACGTCGTTGCTGGGTGAACTTTCATGCGCGATCACGTGTTCTACTATGATGCACACTCTTGCGAAGATCTAACATGTAAGCACGCATGTACATTCACGTGCATTCTTCTCAGCTCGAGTCATAGCTGGATTCTCACGTCGAGACCGAGAGCTGGGGAATACTTGAACGCTTGGCAGCGCCGACCTTTCACCGAATCGTTTCGGATTAAAAAATGAGAAATCTCTTCTCAATTCCCCTTTGTTTGCCTATCTTCCGTGGAATTCGCTGATAATCGCGCGCGCGACAATTAATCCGTTGATCCCGAGCGGAGAACGAGCCCTTTGTCCGATCGCGGCGTGCAGGCGACACGTAACCGTATACGCGGTCGTCAGTGAAAGCGCCGGACTGTCGATGCAATAAAGTGACCCTGACATATTTCGCAATGCGCCTTCGTAGTCGTAATTCCCAGGTGTAATTTGTATCGGCGAGGAGTCGCGCTTATCCTCTTCCGACCGCGCGTGAAAGGCGGCTCCCTAGCCTACGCGCGCCAAACCGCGTCCTCACCTTCCATTTCCTTCGCGTCTCGGATCTCTGCGGTTTTCATACACTTATACGCACGCGACGGTCGTTCTTCTCACGCCGCTACTTTGCGGCGATTTCCGCGAAGCCTTTCTCTTCGTTGCGGCACAATGAATGACTCGGACATTCTGCCGACTGTTGTTCGCATGCATAGTGGGCCACACACCGCACCGTGACGCGTGACAACAAACGATAGCGTTACGTCACAGATAACGAGCGCGCCGAAGTAACTTCGTGATGGAACGTTGGGAGTTCGCGCGAAAGTTTACGCTCGTGAAATATCTGCACGTTTCTATGACGATCTCGTAGGTTCGTAGAAGAACTAGAATTTACATTGCAGCCTCTTCGAAGAGTATCGCATGAACAGTCACTATTGATGGGCCTTGAGAATTTACGCACCATAGATAATTTATCTTACATGTCGCGAACGTGAATACCAGCTAAAAATTATTCATTTTTATATTTCAGTGTATTTATGATTTAAATTTGTTTTTTTTTTACACACGGACTTCATGAACATTGTTAGCAATAATAATGTCAATAATCTCTTCTCCGTATAATTCGTAAGTTAATCACTGACAAAGCACTCTGCAGTGAATATTAAAGAAATTGTAATGTTTTCTTAAATCCTCGCGTTGAGAAAGTTGAAATTCATAAAGCAATCTACTAGACAGAACAAAACATACAAAAGTGTAATTAGACGTGCACGTAAAGATGAAAATATTCCATGTACCTACAATTAAAATAAGAGATGTTATGTGAAAATGTTACGAGAAACGTTAAATAAGACAATTGTGCGAAAGAAAATTGAAAAGAAAGCTTACCAGATATTTGCTAATTAACCCTATTCACTCCAACGTTTTTTTCACCCCAATAATCCTCCAACCATGCACTTTCGAGTCCCACGTGTTTTTTATAATGTTAATAGCTTTGAAAAATTCCCCAAAAATTATTATAATATCTTTGTACCTTCGACTAAAAATCAATG